CGAAGGGGGACGGGGGGACGCTTACATGAGAATCGTCCCAATAAGGCAGGAGGGGGACGGGGACGTTTGCACCCCTGCAGACGGACAGCACATATAGATAGGTTATTGGACCATCTGAACACGTTGGTCGAGCCGGATTTCGCTCTAAAATCATGTTCCAAAGTTGGCCACCCAAGTCATGCTGCCCCACCCAAAGATCGATTTTTCTAGACTTCATATGACTAGCCTGTCCTTCAAAAGCATTTTTCCTGGGGGCTATTGAGCCCTCTGAACACGATGGTAAAGCCAGAATTGCCTGGAAAAATCGTGTTCCTGAGATATACAAGGTCCTCCTCCTCCTCCTGACCTCATGTATGTCACTATCCCAGTATTCCACCTCAATACCGATACTGCAAACATTGCTCCTAAGGTATTTGAGGCCTGTGAATCGATTGGGAATGGTCCCAGACCTTCCAGAGGTCAGCATTATTGTGATATGGGAGGTTGGCTCAAATATCAGTATTTTGGACATATCTCCACGATCCAACCGCCGTTTTTCTTAATTGTTGGCTCATATCCATCCTATTGATACCCTCTATGATATGTACCAGCCCGTCAAAAGATATTTTTTCACAAGTTTGAAACCTATTTCTATTTTGACCCTATAAGTAGGGAAGGATTGAGTAAGAGATGAGAGGAGGAGTGCGAAGAGGATGGTTGAGATGTTGTTATGATAGGATTGTAGTGGAAGAAGGGAAAAATGAAGTGAAGAGGTAGAGTTGAAGGACGAGCGAGATGGAGTATTTTGCGGTGTTTAAGAGATCGGTGGATATGATGGAGTGTAAAGGATAGGGAGAGATAGATTAGGGGGGACTAGGAAAAATTAAGGAATGCCCAACCTTCTTGACGATTCATCTCTACACTCACCATATGCTCCTGATGCTCATTCTGGCCTAGTCAATCACTCAAAATTGTATATATACAATCATATTGATAGCAGAATGTTGTACACTGATTCCCCGGTCCAAGTACAACCGATGCCTCTCAGAAAGTGTCTTTTTCTAAGAACCTGTGTTTGTGTCATCAATTAGCACGTCTCAAAGCTATGATGTTTTGTTCACATTTTCCTGTTGAACTGATAGTCAACCTTACATGAGGGACGAGTGAGATAGAGTATTTTGCAGTGTTTGAGAGATTGGTGGATATGATGGAGTGTAAAGGATAGGGAGAGATAGATTAGGGGGAACGAGGAAAAATTAAGGAATACCTAACCTTTTGTTTGTCCTTTGCTCTTAGTGATGATTTTCCTAACCTTTCCTCTTAGTCATGCTTCCTTTCCTTTGCTCTTAGTCATGATTCCTTCCCTTCGTGCCTTCTTTCCTTTGCTCTTAGTGATGATTTTCCTAACCTTTCCTCTTAGTCATGCTTCTTTTCCTTTCCTCTTAGTCATGATTCCTTCCCTTCGTACCTTCTTTCCTTTCCTTTATGTCACCATTCCTTTCCTTTGTGTCATCTTTCCTTGTTCTTGGCATTAAGTCTAACCATTTTAGACATAGTTCTTCCTCTGTAACCAAGTATGTAATGCTTCTTTCCTTCTGTAACCGATTATATAATTTCCTCTTTCCCTCTCTAACCATATTAGGACTTTCCTCGAAGGAAAAATCTATGCCCCCATAATTTTTCAACTCAAATAGATAGGCCGGGCGCGTATGGGTCATCGTTGTGATGTTTAGTGTTGCGAAGTAAATATCGCAGCACCGACATCACATCATTACCGATGTCATGACTCTGAATGTTGCCATGAGCTCAGCGACACCGCAAATATTTGATGAAAGTTGACTGTGACTGACCCAAATCCTCTGCAATACACTACACACAGATGCCTCGTCTGATAGTGCTCGAGTTGAAAATTCCTGCAGGACATGATCGGCCTGATGAGATACCAATGAGCATTGATCTATTGCCAAGAACATTGCTTTCTTACAAATGGTGACATCAGGATGTCTGTGTCCTTATGCAGGAAGCCGTCGCGGCATTCCTTTGCTATGTCGTTCAGCCAGAATTCGATTGACATCAAAGACAACGCCATTTTTCTCATATCACCATGTATCAGTTTTTTGCGCAGGAGTGATGCAACATACCCAGCCACCGCCAACCATGACTCATGGTGAGAACGGATTGTAGATTGAACAAACTGATATCCGTTTTGGTCCATCAAAAACATATCAATCTATATCGTCATATGAATGAACGCGCTAACATGTAGTATGCAGCACTTACACAAGGTGTTGAAGGTGTGTCATTCAACTGTGCCAGTGTTTCGTCCACGAGATCTTGTAGAGTGTATTTGTTCTTGTTCGACTTCCGATTTGTTGGCTTAACCTTCTGCCTAATGGTGTTCCGTTTGGCGGCAAATAGCACAGGTCGTGTAGGTTGCAATGTCGGATGCCTCGTGACGGGCATCTTTCCAGTGGGCTTCTGCTTCATGCGGTCACGTAATCTTGACTTCAGTGGAGGAGAAGTAGCTACATCGATACTCTCCTGAGAACGAGCTTCAATGTAAATACTGGGCTCTTTATTGACAAGAGCGCCCTCCGACATCGATGTCGATGGTTGGCTACATGGGTCGGAACCGTCAAACGTCACCATGGCCGATATGCCACTGGAATAACTGTTGTTGGTGCGTGATGATATCAAACATCCAGCGAAATCCTGCATCAGGTGCAAAAGGAAATGAGAATTGGTACGATGTCAGGAACTCAATTGAAATGCCTACCATAATATTGCAGTGCTCATTGGGCGTGATCATTGAAGGCTTGCATTCCAGCTTCGATATGCAGTTACCATAATGCGTATCCGTTGGCACGTCTTGAGCGTTGTCCTGCATTCATAACATCTACATCAGCATTCCGACAGGTACGGGAGGTGTGTTCATACCGGATCGCTGAATCCAGTAAACACCAGGTCATCGGTTGACTGCAGGGAAGCATCATAGGTCTCCGTTGGGATGTCTTGAGCATCGTCCTGCATTCATAACATGCATATCAGCATTCTGATAGGTACGGGATGTGTGTTCATACCGGATCGCTGAATCCAGTAAATACCAGGTCATCGGTTGACTGCAGGGAACCCGAGTCATATGGCCGATCGGCCGCGGTGTCGACAGCATGTGTTGTGCCATCTGAAACATTAATGTGTGATTGCTGTGAATACTCCTGGATTTGTTATATCAAAACTGGTATCATGAGAGGTTGTGAATTGCAAATCCTACCATGAAATCGATATCCGCCTGAACCATGACAGGAATTGTAGGATCGCATTTCCAGTCCAACATGGCTACATCAGCGTGTCGGTGGCAGCCAGGAGTATCAATGCCTGGATTGTCTCCACCGTTCTGAACCCATCATGTCAACATTAAGATTATGCTAGGAATAAGCACAGGAGGGGAAGCATTACCAGAGTCATGAAGTCAGTCAACACAGTGTCATCGGTTGGTTGCACTGAAGCTGCAGGTTCAGTTACGCACGGACATGGAACATCTCCAGTCTCTATCTGAGCAACATCGCAAACGGCTTGGATCCCGATGTTGGCGTGGCGTTCAGCGTTGGACAAGCGATCCGTGTAGTCACCGAAAATTCGTTGATCATGAATGTCGAAGTCCGTTTGGACTCCAATATGCGCCAAGGCCCGGTTTACAGATCCATATACCAGCGACGTGTATTCCTCAGGGACTGGCAATGCAGAACCACGCTGAAGAAGCGGTGATGTAACAGTTCGTGATTGCTCCTGCGTATCGACGTTCATCGGCGCCCCGGAATCTGAGATAAGGCCTAGCGAGTGAATGGATGGCCGAGAGATTTTGGATAAATCGAGATGTGACTGGTGTTCAATCGATAGGCCAATGTCCAGGCCATATTCCAGCGAACATTCTGAGCCCTGGCGGGACATGTAAAGATAATGTCCAACACCGGAGAAAAATTTCGCCATCTCGCCACGGTCAATCGATATGCTTTGGCACTTTGTCATCATCTCCACCATGCCGAAGACCTCAAAGAATTCCTCCTTAGTCCTTGCGGTCATGAGCAATCCATTCTCCAGGAGATTCTCCAACGAGTCGTTGTGGTCAAGTCCTTGGATTTCTCTCATTCGCATCGCAATATGGCTAGGCAACCATCGTCCAAACCCACGAATCAGCAGTTGGCGGCCAGATCCTCCCAGTGCCTTAAGAGCGATCTGCCGGCAATTTAGATCGAAAGGTAGGGGGAACGGTGGGAATCTATTGGATGGCTACATTCAAGACATGAGTTTCGTCCAATACTGCCTATGAACAGGGAGATACAATACCGCTTCAATGACACCTGTTTCAGTCCCCGGCTCTTCCATACATTCTGGATTACTCCCTGGATCATGGGCCTGGTCGATATCATTCATGGAGGCTTCTACTAATCTTAGCAGATGTTCGATGTCCTCGCCTGGACCGCAACCCTGTATTGCCCCACAAACATCGTGGTCCTTGCATTGCTGTTTGTGATAGACACGCCAATCAACTGAGTCGTACATCAGGACCAGATATTACAGCTTTAAATTTAAGTTGATTATTGTTGGAGAGCACGTACCAAAGAGGAGTATGTCAGCACACCTCCCATTTTGTATGGCTTCAAATGTTACATTGTGATCTCTTTCTAGAGCATCGCGATACTCAGCGTGGAAGCCATGCTGTGTGTGATCCAACCAAAGGTAATAATCAAGCGCCGGAGATTGGAAGTCGCCATGCAGAGCATCTTCTGACCGACTAGCATCCTTTAGGAATGCGATCCGCACATTGTTCATATATTCCATGACCGATGCATATGTATTCAGCATGTCTGCGGCATCCAAACCGGGCAACCCTGTCAAGTGGGTGACTATTTTCCTGTAAACACCACATTTCTTGTTCAGCGCTTGAAGGGGCAAACGATAGTGTGCAACAATTCTACAACCCTTCTGTCGTTGTCCGGAAATCTTCAGGGAGCATTCTCCATCAACATCTTCAATAGTCCCCTGTACTCGGATCAACTTTTGGAGGTCGTGTGCGCTCCATTCACGGAACTGACATGACGGATTCATGGAGGCGTGAAGGTAATGTGCAAGTCCTGTGATCTCAGTGTATGTAAATTGATGTCGTACCACCTCCGGGAGGGCTGATGTTGAAAATTGAGTTTAAAGTCTGTGGCACTCGAGAAATGGAAGTCTTTGATCTGGGGTGCCCTTACTAAATCACTTACGTGTTACGTGACAGCATGAGGCTAGGCTGCTAGACATTGTGATGTCCGCCTGATACGGAGCCCTGTGACGGTTTAAAGTTTGTGCCACACGAAATGTGTTTATATACGGCCCGCTTGGCCTGCATGCATTACACCTGTCTTGGAAAAATTAGTGTTTGAATGATCGGGCTGGGGTGACATGGTGCATTGTCTGGGAAAATCGCTACATTAGTTAGGGTTAGATGATTCAAATAGATCATGTGCTTCAGAGTTTAACCAAAATCCGATCCGCGACATAAGTTCATTAGAACATTATTCATAAACCGGTGATGCGCTCAGACATGTCATATTTTCGCAAGCAGGTGTAGGTAGTTGGGCAGAATTCATTCATGCATGAGGCTGACACATGCATTCATGGAAATATATTTTGACATTGTAAGACGAACTAGACCACCTTCTCCGGACAAACCAGACAGTAGAACCGTGGAATGAGCTTGTCAGACGATGTCAATGTCAAACCAGCTTTATGGATGTCTTCCTTCCAACCATCTGGCAGACTTCCACGCTTGATTGCCTCTGTGATGAGCGTCCGGATCTTCGCCACAATCAGTGCATTTCCAACCACACCGCATGGTCCCCCTCGTCGAATTGGCATGGTCATCAGCGCAAGAAACTCTTTGTCGAATGTGATACCGTCACAGAGAGATGGGAGGAGCACCTTGGTCTTCTTATGCATCCTGCGTCCATTAGACACCAGGCAAATCTCATTGAACCACCTGTCGCATGTCCTGCAGAATCGCTGCACATTCTGAGGGGAGGAGAATGCAGGATCGCATTCGTTGCAACCACACCGTGTGGATAGTTGTGAGTTCTGTATATCGCATAGGGATGAATCTGGGCTGGAGGAGCGTAAAAAACATCTGCTTACACAAATATTTACTCCATCCAAGTATACAGTGTTACCGCGGTTTACAAAATGCATGTTCATCGTCCATCGATGGTAGAGTGTCTCAGTTGGAATTTGGGGTTGAGATAAATCACCCTCGTCATATCGCAAAATTGTAGCATGAGCTACCATGAATGAAAAAATATCACAATCACATGAGTCTTATAATGAGTAAAGCATCACGAGGCACATACTCTCAACACAATGCATATCCACTATAGACGTGTGGTCACTGAGAACTAGCTCATATGTCCCGACGCAATCTGCAAGGCTGAATTTTCATTCCTGTCAGAATCATTTCACCGACGATGAAACAACCAACATACTCGATACCTTCGTCCTCCAAGTCAACCTGTCTATAATACCATTGAATATCAAGCCACGCCTCCTGTCATTTATGATACGAGTAAGTAAGTCAGTGGGAAAGTTCAATGCCTTGGAGTATTCAGTGCACCGACCTGATTGTGTGAAGTAGTCTTCCAGTAGATATCCTTTATCTTACCATACCAATATGACATGATAGGTAGACTGCCATCCATCATTGGGACTGACCGTTCTTCGAGCGGAAAGATAGCGACACTAAAGGATATCTGTTAGTGTTATGAATGACACATGCGGATACTACCATACTCTTCCCCAACTCTAATAACCAAGCGGCCATCTGTGGGCCCGGCGTCCGTGTCTTCCAAAGCTGCATCATATACCCCTGAGAGTTGAACAAATACAAATATACCAGGTAGACGTGAGCAATCGAACAATCATCAGTAGGCAGACAGTTGAACAGACATTCCAAGGACGTGCTTCGCTTCAATTGGCGGAGCTTGGGGTGACCACTGCTCATGGGAGGCAATCTTCTCGTGCCCTTTGCACGGTATGTGTAGCTAGTAATTGATGGTCGGCTCGACATGACAGTGGAGTTGGAGAGCTACAAAGAATATCATGCAAGACGAACAACTGAGAAGGAAATCGATATCCTCCGGTCGGAGTCAACGTCTATTTCGTAAAAATAGGCTTCAAGGGCACGGACGGATCAACAAGATGGTGTGGCGAGACACATGGCATCTTCATTACAGCATATATACTAAAGTCAATCGTGTACATTAATTAGGTAGACAGGTGTAAAATGATGCGCATGGAATCGTATTGAATGGAGCCGAAATATGCAGGCTATCCCGTGTATCGGAGGCTATCACGTCACGGACAGTGGTTAAATGGGCGGCCATTGTGTCAGGGAAAGTATGTAAGCAAATCGGACGATATGAGGTCGGGAACAGTAAGTATATCAGAGGCTGCGAGGCGCAGGATAGTCACGTAACTAAATGGACCGAAATATATCACGTTGAGTACAGGGTGTTGATCGCTGAATTTCATTACAACGATCTCTTGGGTCGCTACAGAGTACATTGCGCGACATGGAGGACGACGTTTCCTTCAGTCTAGAAGAAATCTTGAAGTCAAAAATTCTCGAATGGGACCCAAAGGATTCAACGGTCTGTGGTACACGTGGACACACAGCTGACAATACATTTGAGGACGGATGGAATACCGATGAAAACATCGGAGCGCTGTCTGTAGCCATAGACAACTGCAAAATATTGGATGATAGCATGAATGTCCTCGAAACACATAAGCGACAGCGCGGAAGACCAAAAAAGCGAGTTGTGCACCGTCGTGAGTGCATATGCTTGACCCCTATGTTCCCCATTGTCACACATTTCTACAGGTGGAAATCAGACCACAGAGGTAGCCAACATTCCAAAGGAAGCATCATCACAAAATGTCGAGAATATTATGGCAAAGCGAATCATTCGTGCTACCACAAGTCCACTGCCCGACACATTGCCATCCCACGTTACGACAAACGATCATATCCAATCTAATAGAAAGAGAACCACTGCATGTGACAATGTTCAATTTGTAGGGACCCATGACGAACCCGACACATATGATGTTTTAGAGCACATCATGGCTACTGGAATCCTGGATTGGAATCCAAAGGAGTCATGTGTTGCAACGCTTCCATCAAACGATGGTTTGAATACATGGGATGATCTGGTGGAACAGTCGACGGCGAGATACAGAAATGGAATGGCTAAACGGAATCAGGGTACCACGATGAATATGCCACTTAAACCACGGGGAAGGCCAACAAAGAGAGCAATCACACGTCGTGAGTGCTTGGACTTGACACCTATTTCATACTTATGACAGTATGGCACAGGTGGCAAAAACAAGAAAACCATTTCTGAGGATCAGGTGCCTTCGATTCAGGAGCGAGGGAAATATAACGGCGAATATGTGATCCGTGCTACTAGTAGCCCTATGCAGGAACCACCGCACACAGAACATAGACCGCATGGTAATGATGAGTCCACGGTCATAGAGCACAGGAAAGTCAGCATACGGCCAGTTAATAAACCACATAGGGGACGTCCAAGCAGGCGCATCAGACATGCACAGAGAACTGGTATGTGATTCTACCTCGCCCAACATTCATACTCATAGGCTGCGTCATTCAATTTCCAGCAACCAAAACACAAATACATCAGGGATCACCTGTGGAAGGTCCTCAATCTGACGATGAGGATGAACAACATATCGAAGAATCACGCTGTAAGCAAGAGCATTTATGTGCGTTTTATCATGTGTATGTGTTAAATCAACGGACATTGTATTAGGGAGTCCAGCTCAATCGGTCAGAGGAATACAAGACAATGATTACAGACCTTCGCCATTACCACAATCAGAGATGCAGGCGCCTTCGCATGACGAGCCAGAACATACACTACCTATACAGAGTGTTGAGGAAATAGCCTGTAAGTTCATGATGACATTCATACGACATGAAATACTAATGTGTTGACGATACAGCTTGTGCAATGGCCAGACCTGTTGTTTGGACCCCTGCCTGGCACAGCTGGAGAACACTTGCTCTGGATGAATGGCTTGATGCGGCCGTGGCGAACTTTTACCTCTTGAACGTTTGGTACGAGGTACAGGATAAATCATGCATGAGATATGTCGATATGTTCATCGCGATGACGGATGACATGACTGAAGAAGGAGTGGAACTCTTTAGGAGAAACCATTTTGTGCCTCGTGAGGGCGCATGTCCTATGGTTCCAGTTGCCTTCATAGTCCATCATTCAAATCATTTCTTCACCGTCATCTTCGACTTTCAGGGACGCCTAGCCCATGTACTGGGTCGACATATTTCAGATGATGCCATGGACGTGGATGGAGTAAATCCACATGACTGGAAGGATTGGAGAGGACCAGAATTTTGGAAGAGAATTGCAGCCCTTCATGGCTGGAGCCCAGAGGATGTCGATGATGTTGTCCTGATACCTAGGGATTGGGAACAAAATGGAGTCGACTGCGGGCCTATTGCATGCTCTGTGTTGGAGCAATGCATCAACACAGGGCTGGACGAGCACGGACACCTACCATCCTTTCATGTAAAATGTGGACACCTACTGCGAATCAAGATTTTGCACATTATCGCAGGACGTATCAAGACAAGCTGCCACGACTACCTTATGATGCTAGACAACCCTCCGGACGATTGGAGCGCAGATGATATGCCAGATGAGGAGGTCATCAATGTCATCCAGAATGGACGACACCAGGCCGAATGCCTTCAACTCTTGCGGAAATTGACTGTTGTGAGCGCTACCTGTTCAACATGCCAACGGCCCATCGTCACCCAGGATGTCGAGAACACATCGCACCCTTGCCAGAATGACGGTGGAGCTCCAGTGGATGATGATGGTGCGGAGGATGTTGAAGATGAAGACGATGATACCCTTGGCACAGGCTTACCTGCAGATAGGAAGGCCAGACTTGCGCGACTGTTCAAAACTAACAATGAACTGGCCGGATCTCGGAATCGTAGTGCCATAGCCCCTCGCTCGATCGGAACGCACCTTCTACTCGAACATGACCTTACTGCAGACATCAACAGTTCAGGTCCAATTGATTCACAACGTTCTGGATCGGCCTCTGCATCTCGTAGGCGAGTTTCCAACTGGCATCTTGGAAGCAACAAACGCTTTCCACGTCCCATCGCACCAGTCGCCCTGGCTGCATATAACGGTCGACGATGGCTTGAGGATGAACTCACATTCGATGATTATGAGGGTGGACCGACAATAGAAATGCTAAGATCTCCGAGGGAAAACAATACCTTGATGACATTCCAGGCTGGAGGGATGCAGGTGTCCACTGCGTGGTTGGACTGGGTCGATCATGGTTATAGAATCACCCGAAGCGCATTCCACAATTTCTATCAATGTGACCCTATCGCAACTATGGACCACATCATGTCAATCGGCACCACCGCCTCCTATGATGCTTCAAAACAGATTCCGGATCGTGTAACAGGCGCATATACCCTGGAGCGACTGGGTTTGGATGAGGGTGGACGGCACACACAGGTCACAGATGTAGAAATACTTTCCCCCTCTCAGATCATCGACTTTGCACACTACGATCCACCACTCCATGATGAGTGTAGGTTCGGACATGACGCCTTTGTCCGTGGCCACGCCAGCCATCGCTATGGAGAAGGACCAGCATTTTATGTGGACCTCGAACAAGATGCAATTCAATTTTCGGAAGATGAGATAGAGAGATCGGTGGACATAGACAGCATCATATGGACTACCAAAACATTCCGATGCACAGGCAGCGTTGGGATCTATGTCACGCCACCATTTCAAACGAAACCTGGGATCTACAAGCACAATCACACATATGTAGAGATCACAATTCCACAGTCGGAAGAAGACGCAAACACTCCTGGTGGGAGGACTGAATGGCTATCCAAACGAATGCCGATGTCTGCCATTCCTCACGCCTGCATTGGGCGCATATCATCAGCTGCCTCAACACTCAATCTTTACATCGCATTCCCAAGGATGATTCACAAACACCCAGTGAATGGTCGGAGAATCACGCTGATCCCACAGGAGGTACAGGACATCTTTTGGGACAGGGTGTTGCTTCCATCTATAGGAGACTGCACCGATGTCAGCTGGCAGCCGTACCTGAAATACACATTGGAGGAGGCACGATACAAGGCAAAGGGAGCAGGGAGGCGCCAAGGAGGATGGACACCCCCCAAATCAATTCCACTGTCAGATGACGACTTCAGGGACGTACAGAACCGCATGCATGATCGAATTCGCGATGGTGAGGCTGAGCTCAGCATGTATGGCTCTTTGTTTTTCATTCTGGAGGGCAAGGGGATAAAGCTACTTACGAAGGATGGACAACGAGGGCGCTTTGGAGGTCCAGAAGAGGCCCTTTGCAGCAACCTCCCTGACCTCGACTGGCCATACATGATAGACAGGAGCCACGGCGAGCTGTTGGTGGATGTTGGTATCTCATTCACACCTCACTCCCCAGATGTCCCAGTCGTTGGAGTATGGAGATTAGATGCTTTGGAAGCATCATTCGGAGCAGGGGGTTACAAGAGAGGCGAGATCCATCATCACAACACACTCTCAAGATATGGTGCGCTGCAGGCAGAGATGCAGCAGGAGAGATCACAGCAAACCCATATCGCATTCAGGAGCACCTACAATCTCTACTATGAATCCATCCGAACAAACAACAACCAGGTGAACTTCGCATCGGACAGTGATGCCTACAAGCTTGCACCATCCTATATGGCTGAATGCTTCCAAATATGCAAGGTGATCGATGGTTGTAGGGGAAAAACATATGGAGTGAGGGATGAATATAGGGTGAGCGGCCAGGCGGCCAGAATAATTCTGGATAATATAGAAAGCAAGGTCAGTCAGTCATCCATGGTGCATCAATGAGTCGCAAGGGGGCTGAATCATGTCTTTGTGTTGACAATTCATTTGCAGGCGATGGAATATCTGCAGTCTGATCCAATCCTGTGGATACCATCGAAAATCTGGTTCGAGTTCATGAAGCGCAGGGTGCGGGAGATTCAAAGGACGCAGATTGCTATTGTCAAAAAGAATCCTCCCAATCTCGGCATCCTCACTGGCCTGCTCAACCACATGCTTCGTTCGACAACATCTACCCCGATCATCTATGATTTTCACGTCCGTGAATCACTTGCCCTCCTCGAATACAGAAATGTACTGGAGACAGCAGGGATGTTTTTCCTGCAGGAATTTGATGTCGGCAGCGATGCATGCCTGGACGCAGTGCAGCAAGTCGACGATGTGAATGTGCTGGCTATTATGGGTGTTAATGCCAAGGCTCAAAGGGATAGAGCAGTGGGAAGGCTGGAGTCTTTTCAAAGTACTGAGCCGGAGCTGGAAGACTATCCTCTCGGCCGAAAACCAACTTGGAATCGACTCAAAGCTGTTGTGGCCAGTTCACCTGCCACAATCATGAGACCATGGGCATGGTCATCCTGGTTATCGAACACAGGACTGTCCGTCGGACGATTATTCATCATGTTCACAAAGCACGTTTGGCTAATGCTCACACCCGAGGTCTTGAAGGGAATCAGACCACACCCAAACTCACTCCAGGAGGCCATGAAATGCTGGACAATAACAAGC